GCCCGCCCCCGCCGGGCCCCCGCCGGGCCCCCGCGACCTTGGCTCTCTCTGTTTCAGGAACTCCAACAGCAAAAACGACCGGAGGAACCGCAAGTTCAAGGAGGCTGAGCGGCTCTTCAGCAAGTCCTCGGTCACCTCGGCAGCGGTGAGTGCCGGGCTGGGCTCCGGTGGAGCTGAGCAGACCTCCCTGTCCCCGTCCCCGTCCCTGTCCCCATCCCCGTCCCTGTCCCCATCCCTTGGTGCTTCTCGGTGCAGCTGGTCGCGTGGTGATTGCCTGGGCTGCTGCAGGACCAGTTTTCCATTTAAGCTCCTGTACTTGCCCTGTCTCCCCTGACCCGAGCATCTTCATCCCAGCCTCTTTCAGAAACCCCTTTCCTAATGCCCAGAGAGGTGAGAGGGAGCTGCAGCCAAGAACCACCCGTGCCACACGCTTGTCATTGCCATCCCTGTCTTTATCTTTTTGCTCCTAACCCCCGTCTGCTGTCCCGTGCTGGTGCTAGGTCATAAGCTCTTTCAAGCAGAAGCCTGATGTGTCTTTCTCTGTGACGTGATCTCTGTGTTTTTGAACATTTGAAAAGTGGTGAGTCAATTACTGCTTTCATTAACATCCCTTTCGCTTTTCTAGGCGGTCAGTGCATTAGCTGGAGTTCAGGACCAGCTCATTGAGAAGCGTAAGTCACTTTTTCCTTTCTCTCAGAATTGGGAAGGAATTACACTGCTCCCCACCATTCAGCTCTGCCTCCAGTTGTCTGGATCCGCGCTGTGCTCGCTGCTCCCCCGCAGCGCTCCCCGTCCAGGGACCTGCGGCTGCTCCTCTTAGGCCGGCTCCTGAGTGCTCCCAGCACAACCACTAGCTACAAACGTCAGCAAAGTGGCCCTGTGAGAAACAGAAGGAAAGTTGAGCTTCCTTTCTTGAGTAAACTTTTATGCTCGGCAAGGGTTTATTGTGCATAAAACTTATTTAAATGGATTTGGTGCTTTTTGGAGAAAGAGGTTAGAAGAGCCGAAACAACGCATTTCTGTTTGTGTGTCTGTCTGTCAGCTGCAAGTGACGTGGGGAGGAGCCACTTAACGTTCAGGATTTTTAAAAATGTTTTTGTAATCAGTACCAAATTGGATGCAATTCTAGTGTGCTTCGGTTGCTGAGGAGGTAGCTTGCTGTCCTTCAGAAATATTTTTCAGGTTCTCTTACGTACCTGCCGGTGCCATACGGCTCAGCGTCTCTGCTTCCCCATGCAGTGTTGCTGGGGGTTGCTTCTTCCGTGCAGGGCTTTGCCAGGGCAGCCTGGGGTGTGAGCTGCGGGGAGGTGACCATTGTGCTCGTCCTTCTCCTGCTCTAGGGGAGCCAGGCAGCGGCACAGAAAGTGACACTTCTCCAGACTTCCACAATCAGGAGAATGAGCCCAACCAGGAGGATGCTGAAGAGCTGGATGGGTCTGTGCAGGGGGTGAAACCCCAGAAAGCTGCTTCCTCTACTTCTTCTGGGAGCCACCACAGCAGCCACAAAAAACGGAAGAACAAAAATCGACACAGGTTAGTGGTACCAGCAGCCTTCTTGTCATGCCTTCTGAATGGTTAGCTGTTGCTGGATCTACTTTGTTATGTGAAAGGAACTAGGAACTTGTTAGAATAATGAGCAGCTCAGGTCATTTGTTTTGGTGATTTCGCTGGTTTTTAGTTGTGTGCATCCTGCAGCGTTCATCAGGACCCTGTTGTATCAAGGAGGGGAAAGCATGCTGAGGAGGTTAAACAAGCAGTCAGCACAGGGTGCTCACTCCAGCTCTGGTACAGCTGTGCTTCTGACCTGGCCTTTTCAGCTCTTCTCTCTGTCCAGGAGAATAAAGCTGTCTTCCTTCCAGTAGAGGAAGATTGCAGTCCTGGCCTCCTGTGCTCGCTTCTTGGTTTCTGCAGAACCAAGTGAGATGATAGGAATGTCAGTACTTTCTTTGGAAAAGAAGGATGAAAAAGCAAACTGGAATGTTTTCGGGGTTGTGGACACCCTTCCCTAAGATTTCCACTCCAAGCCCTTTCAGTTTTCAGTGTCCCAAACGGAGTCTCTTGATTATAGCACTGAAGAGTTGCTTTATCACATTAACCTCAAAATGTTTGTTATTAAACTGACCCGAAATTCATGTGAAACAAAAGCTTTTCTGAACTCTTTGGGGTTGAATTTAGATGACCACTTCTGCCCCTTAAGGTATGCCCCTAAGGCGTGATGCAGCGTGGCGGGCTCATGGCTCAGAAATCTGCAATAAACTCCCTGCCTTACAGTGCTGCTCTGCGTGGGCAAACGTCACCCGCTGCTTAGCCATGGCTCGGTGCCCCTCAGCAGAGCTAGCCCAAGGATTTCTGCAGAGTATGACAGTGCGCTGTGGAGTCACACCCTAAGGGGAAAAAAAATACGTGGAAACCCATGCTTTTGGAAAGAGGAGACACTGCAGAACTTCGCCTCTCTGGAAATGATTGCTGGAACTGGTACCTAAAGATTATTAGAAGTAAAAGAGCTTTTAAAAATCAAGTGTTCTTGCAAACTTTGAGCTTGTTGGTTGTGTCTATGGATGGGCTTTCCTCTTTGAGGGACTTTCCCATACAATTACAAGAGAGATATGTTTTAAAGAAAAGTGGTAAAAATTTACAAAGATTGCTGGGGGAAGGTTGGTTTGGGAGATGCGGAGGTAGGTACAGTACTTGAAAAACGCTTAACTGCTTTTTCTCCTTCATTAGGTTTTGAGTCATTGGTGTGTCTTTGATTCCTAGATCAAAACTTTCTTCCTACAGCAGTCTTAATTGGGCAAACATCCTAAAATAGTGGCTGTCCCTTTGGTTTCTCGTGAGCTGGGAATCCAAAGCAGTTCAAAACTCTTTTTTTTTTGCCTGTAGGCAATTGGAAAGAAGTTCAGGAATAACCCAAGAAACTACGTCTGTAAACGAGTTCAGAGAAACAGTCTGTAAAACTGAAGTACAGCTTAAGAAAACTGCTCTTTCAAACAAATTATAAAATATTCTCCTAGGCACTTACATGGACAGCAAACCAATCCGCTGCAGACGCAGTGGGGTGCAATACAAATGCTGTAAATAATATAAATTCTTTTGAACCCGAACTTTAGTGACAGGAGTTAGGAAGAAACTGCCCTACTGGCAGGTTGTGTTGCTTTGGGGTTTCTTCTGCGTTCCTTCCACTGAAGCAGCTGGTGCTGGCTACTGCCGGGGACAGAATGTTGGACGTGAGGAGCCCTGGTCTGATCTGGTATGGCAATTCTTATCATCCTAAGAGATACGTCAGACACATCGACGTTACGGAAAGGCTTTTGCATTTAGTAACTGACTGTTTTGTAATGCTTAGCATGGCCAGGTAGATAATTAAAAGAAGATAATTAAGTTTGTCTGTAATAAAAACAGTTAAAATCGTGAATGCCGTTACTGATTACCCCCTACATTTTGGCAGAAAAGACCAAACAATTTTCAAGTATTTCTAGGATAAAAAAAGCAAACAACAAAACAGTCCCAGTCTACTGAAGGTATAGCTAAGTGCTTTAAACTGCATTGCAGCCCAGAGTGCTCTTTAGGAAGAGGCCTGTGTCTCTGTTTCTTGAGTGTCGTGGAAGGAAAAAAGAAAAAAAAAGGCAAGAAAAAGAAATATTGGCGTTTCTTTTTGTTCAGAAGCTCTTCCATTTGCCAGCATACGCTTGAGTTCTGTTCGCCTGTTGCTGAAGAACTGGGAGGTGTTGGGAACAGGCACCCCGAAGGTGCCCTGACTCCGCTGGATTTTCTACTTCGTGTGCCACCGAGGGCAGTGTGGGAAGTTCGATTCAGACTGGGCAGAACTGGTGTGAATAGGCAGTTTCACTTCCAACAGTGAAAAACAGGGAATCAGGTGGAAGTTAGTGTCTTTATTGAAGTCGTCCTCCGTTCCCTCTGAGACCGCAGGAAGGCCAAGTTGATTATCTTCTGTGTGCTCAGCAATTTTCACGGCTAAAAAAGTATTTCGGGAGAAAATTCAGTGCCGAAAAGCTACTGAGTTACAGCTGATTGATGATGAGTCCTTTCCAGCCAACACAGTCGTCGGCTTTGGGGCAGAACTGGTTCCAGAGGCGGTGCTGTGCTGTCTGTGCGAATGCGGAGAGGAGGGGTGGGAATGGCACCAAACTGCAGTTAGCTTCGGCCGATTGACCCTCTTCCCTTCCTAGCTCGCTAAAGGAAGCGAGTGCGAGAGGCTGTGTGTATGGGGGTGCGTTCGGAGAATAGTCGAATGCGACGTTGGCCACTCAGTGCTGCGTGGCCTCCACCTCTGCCTGAAGACGCTTTCTTTGCCGTAATAATCTCGACAAAGCCACTGCTTTCTGACCGCCCGCTCGTTTGTTTTTGCAAGCAAATCAGTTTTCCTCTCTGCCTGCGAGCTAGTGTGCGCTCTCACGGATCTGATGATAGCTTCCTTTTTCAGCACCTAGAATTCCCTCCATAAAACCACTCTGCCTCTGTTCTAACACCTCTTTTTTCCCAGAAATCCGATTGGGGAGGGGGACTCTGGATTGCCAAATCTGGAGTGCTTTTTGTGCCCAATTCTGGTTAAGATATCTTAAGAACTTTATGGCATTTGAGCACTGGCTTTATTATTTTTTAATTTTATTTTATTTTTTAGTAATCTCGCTAGGGTGGCTAATCAACTAATTTATTTAATTCATTAGTATATTAATTTCTATTGCTTTCTTCCTTTCAAATGCTGCCCCTCAGCCCGTCTGGCATGTTTGATTATGACTTTGAGTAAGTTTGACTTGAATTAGTACTTGTGCTGTGTTGTTAGTGTGTAGACACCAATGTGCCTTTTGAGACCTTTCTAACCCATAGTTTATCTGTTTAATTGTAGGTATGTATATTAGGTTAGGCTGGGAAGTTTTTTTTAAAAACAGAAAAGCGTGATGGAGGTAACATTTTATTTAATAACTTCAGCAAAATTAAATTAACTTCACTCTCCTTTACCTTTCTATTTCATTTTTAAATAGATAAACTTTTTAACTTAAAAACTTAGTTTAAAAACTGATTCTTCTGGCTTTGCTTCTTAAGGAGATTAGTGTAGACTTGGATATTTCCTTCTGGAAAAATGTAATGAACTCAGTATCTTTGACTCATTTAACCCCTGTCATCTTAAACTCCTATCTCTATTCCAAGTAAATAACCGTTACCACTATGTCTGAATAATTACCTGTGGCATAGTTACACATCTAACAAATTAACATAGAGCATGCGTATTTAACCTTATCTCTTTATGCTGCGTAACTTCCCTGTGATTTTAGTATGAATCTTTATTAACTCTTTTTTTGGAGTGGACGGAATATGCATTTTGGCAAATAAGAAAGAATCCACTCTCCGTCTCTTTGCTGCTCTCTTGTCCAGTAATACTGGGACAGTGATTTGGCTCAGCCGAATTGAGAATGTGGATTGAATTAACCAAATAGTCTTTGTTGTAGCCTGTGCCATATGCAGTAGCTGGTTCTTTGAACTCTAGTCTCGGTTTAATGTATTGAAATGGACGTTTCTCTTATCTTTCCAACCACAGGATTGATCTCAAGTTAAACAAAAAGCCAAGAGCCGTAAGTATCAGTGCTCTGTCGTTGTTTTCATTGCTCATCTCTAGACTTGAGTGGCTGACTGACTCCTAATCTTAAAAAGCCTCCCTCTGCTGTCATTTAAGATCTTATTTTCGTGGTTGAGGAATATCATGGTGTGAAATAAGCATTGTCTTGTGGATTTGACAGTAAATAAGCCCAGGTAGGCTTGTTATGAAGCTAGGTCACAGTTAAGTCCTATGCACTTTTTCTGAAAAAAGCTGTTTTGCGTCCTATTATCTTGTCATGATCTGGAACACTAAAAGCAGCTGGTTTGAGTTGATGCGTTCTTGAACTAAGGTTTTGAAGGGTCCTTTCTGTTGAATGTTTCGCTACAAGAAAAAACCTCTTTTTCTGTTTTGCCTGCAACTAATGGTATGTAGAAATGAGAGAAGACTGAGAATCCCAGCTCTGCAAGCAGAATTGAAGGTAGAAAGGTCTTAATGTGCCTGTCCTTTCCTTTCTCTGCAGGACTACTAGACTCATCAGTGCTGATGCTTCTGGGATTTAGGTCTACATGAATCCCCACTGAGAAAAATGCCAGTCGACTGAATGAGCACGATGGCAGCTCTCTGGCCAAGTGTCTGCAGATGGGAGTGGCTCACTCTAAAGAACTTAGATGGGGGGAGAAAATCTTGGACCATGTACTTTGCATCATTTTTAAATCACCTGAGTTGCAGGGAGACTAAGGTGTAGTAGTAGTAGTAGTCCTGAATTCCTGACTATTCTGTGCTTCCACCTCAGTCGGGAACTTCCTAAAATTGGCTGATCTTGCTGCTGCCGCCCCTGTCATCTGCAAACCCATGGAGAGGTATTTCTTTTTCCACTGGAACTGGGGTACGATTCAGTACGTCCCATCCATGTTGTAAGACTTAGATTACTTTTGTTGCTGATACCTAGCTTTGTAGTTTTGGTTTTGTTTTTTTGTTTTTTTTTTTTGTTTGTTTGTTTGGTTTTTGTTGGTTTCATTTTTGTTTTTGTTTTTTTTTAAACCAAAATGTATAGTTAACAAATTGACTTTTGGTTTCTTTGTTTTAATCCATGTAGAGTGCAAGGTTCTTCATTTTGTGGAACAGCTCATTTTGATTCGTACTCAAGCAGAGAAGAAGGTGGTTAACCCTTTTCTTAACTTTAATTTTAAACACCATCCCCTAAAATTTATGCCGTGCTTTTAGAGGCAGGGAAGGCTGGAGCTGAAAGCCATCTTGCTCTTTGCTATCTTTGAGGTTGGGTGGATTCTCTTTTTAATACAAACTTCTGTCATTTGTACATAAACAATAAAAGTTACATGTTTGTCTCTCTTCTCATGTTTTGTTCGGTCCACAATTTGACTCCTAGCGCTTTTTATTCTCCATCTGCTTTATGAGGACTTTGCTGGAATTCTTCCACTTTTGCATAGTAGCTGTTCCTTGCCTCCTGACCATGAGGAGGTTTCCTTTGTGCTTTCTTTCCTCCGATAGACATAACATTGAGTGCTTGAAAGGATTGCCAGGCACTGTGTTCAGCTCATCCCGCGTCAAGGTAGGGCTTGGATGTCAGTCAGCTCTTGCTGATACTGGCGGAAGGCCCGCAGATAAGGGAGGAGCAGTCTGCATTGCCGCTGGAAGCGTACGCAGGGGGATGAGTGTTAGGTGCTTTTCAGGGTAGCCAGGCCGAGATACCAACGCCGATGTTGAAACAGGCTTTGCATTTCTCAAAGTGGTAAATTGCCTTTGTAACCAGCGCTGTAATGCATTTGTGTCTGCTTAAACATTGCTGATGGAGAGAGTGCCGTGGTTGTATCGCTGCCAGCCCCCCAGTACGTGTGCGGGCGCACTTGTTGGAGCCGAGGGTTCGTTCTGTTCTGCTACGCCTCTGCTTTCCTGGGGTCTTGGGGTCGTCTTCAGCTCCCTCCAGGCCACCCAGTCAGTGCAGAGCGGTACCGAAGCGCGAAGGCAAACGGATAGGAGCGAAGTTCTCCCTTCGTCTGGTGTCTGGTTCAGGGATCAAGGCAGCTCTGTGTTTGTTCGTGGTGGGAGCTGGCTTAGCCCGCAGCAAGCGAGCGGCTGGCACTCTGCTGTCAGGCTGCTTATCCGCAGGGAGTGTTGGGATGTAACGGCTTAATGGGAGAGCTGCAAAGCTGCCCTACTTTTTTGTGTTTGAAGTCACAGAGGTTAAATACAGGGGGGTGGAAGATCTAGGAAACAGCATAAACTCCTAAAAGGCTTTGCTTTTCCATAGTTCTGGAAAAAAGAAGTCTTAGCTGATGGTTTTTGATTACTTGGCCTTGATACAAAAGCAGCTTCTCTCCCACGACTGCTGCTGTTCCAACGCAAGGATTGCAAGACCGCCTGAACTTCAGAAGGTAAAAATCTTCGCTGCCCCTCTCTGACCTCGAGGAAAGCTGCTGTAGCTTTTTGGCCGGAACATTTACCTGCAGAGAAATAGCAAAGGGCTCGTGTAGCGTGGAGTCCTGTGTCTACAGGTGGTTTTTTTGTGGCAAAGTGTCAATCATCAGCTTCGCTTTCCCTGTGATATTCATTGGGGATGCTGTGGGGACATGGGGAAAAGGTGACCTTTCCGGCCGCCGGCAGTGTTTGTCACTAAAGGAAGGGGACAGCCTGTTCCGATGAGGAAGGTGCCCGATGGCAGCAGCTCTGGGGAGCCAGCGCGTTGATCAGGGCAGAAAGTTAAATGGCAAACGCTCGGTTCGCAGTTAAAGGAGCCCTGTTCTGCTGATATGCAGCTATTTATTCCCCCCAGGTCCTGCTGACCGGCAGCAGCCCTTTGGCTGCCACAAGACCGGTGAGATGAAGAGGCGGTGGGGCCCGGCGCGGTCTGCCCCAGCGAGGGAACAGCTCCTTGTCCCAGAACAAGAACTGGGGGCCGCGGCTCTGCAGCAGCAGCTTCCCTGCGGCGTTACCGTAAGGAGCGGGGAGGATGGTGTGCGGGGTCTCCGATCACTTTGGGAACATAAGCACTGTCACCTACAAGAGAATCGTGAGTTGGATGCTGGAGGCTGACTCTGGCAGTTTTGCCTAAAATGTCTGTTTTATTTCTGAAGACTTCTATTTTTCTTCCTAAACAGCACGAGTGAATAAAGGTCCCCAGGCTCGCCAGTGCCTGGCCTTGGACACGGGGGGGGTCAAGAGAGATGCACAGGCTGTTACCTGAATGATAATGAAAGCTAAAAGTAGTAGTTAAAAATAAATCACAAGTCCTTTGCTTGCAGAAGATGACTCCTGAGCAGAGCAAATGAGGGGTGGCAGAGCAGCAACTGTCCTTATGGCCACCAACGGTGGAGCAGGAGAACCACTAATCCCCTGCACAGCCTCGTCACCAAGCGGCTTAGGCAGGAGTTTATCGAGCCTGCGCAAGCAGCCGAGCAGCAGCCGAGCGCTGACACCAGGCAGGAGGGGCAGCAGCCGCCCCAGCCACGGCGGGGAGGGTCTGCGCGTGGTGCATCGCTGGGTAAGGGGCAGAGCCGGGGAGGGGAGCAAGTGTCCCCGCTGAGCACATGGCCTGGGCGCTGGCCCCGCAAATGCTCACCTTCCCTTTTGCTAGCCTGGCCCGCGGCGAGCCGGGCTGGGTGCCAGTATGCGGTGGTGCAGCATGCACCCCTCCGGTGCACAGAGCGCGGTGGGTGAGACAGTGGCGTGGGCACAGCACCTCTCCGTCTCCTGGTCTGCAGGGTCCCCATGGGCAGGCAGCGCGGCCCACTGGTGCCGAGGTGGAGGCAGCTCCTGTGGGCTGGGTGCTGGTGGCTCCTGTCGCTCTCCGGGACAACACTCCAGGCGCTGCGGTGGCTCTGGAGGCTGGCATGGGTCGGTACCGCAGGGCCCCTTCCCCAAGGCCCTTCATGCACTTGTGGCGGCTCCAACTGTGGCGTGTGTCCGGACCCAGGGGCCGGGGCATGGGGTGGGGGGGTGTGCTGCCAGGGTGCCAGCTCTGTACCGGGGGGTGCCGGGGGCTGTGGTTTGGGGGGGGGGGCACCACCCCATCTGGCAGCATGACTGAGAGATCGGCTCTTGGCTCAAGGCACTGGATGGTTCTTGGGGACGTGGGGGCGTTGTTTCGGGGTCCGGGGGC